AAGAAACAAAGGCCAACAGCTTTATAATTAATATAGTCTGCTGTGTGTTTATTTGGGACTGATGCGGCTCTAGAACCAAGCTGTCGGGAAGGCTCCTCTCAAAGAAAAAGCTTCCCTTTACAGAAACCCAGTGTGGTCAGAGAAAACCTTTGCCTGCCCAATCAAGGGATGGGTGCTGGAGTTTATTAGGGGTCTCAGGTCTCTGGCAGGGACAATCTAGTTCAATCAGGGCAGGTGTGTGGCAGGACAGGGCAGAGAGCACTTCCAAAGACTGCTGATTGCAACGCCACCTCCTTCGGGACACTGTCATCACTGGACAAAGCTAAGATCAATAACTTCCATCTCGGTGCGTCTTGGATTTTTTTTTTAACAACCAAAAAAAAAATGGAGATGTTTTGAAAAGGATTTTCAGACTCAACAGTTTCCTTCTTGTATCTTTATTACTCCTTTGGTTCTGAATTCAGAGGAAATGCACTTTCGGGTTGTCTGCCTCCCCTTTTGTCTGAGTACAGTACAAAGAAAATCAAATTTTAATAACTGCCATCATTATGTGTTTACACGTAATGAGGCGATTTCCGTGTTCGCACAGATGGTCCGGAATAACGAACCGTGATTACAACCCATTCTCACAAGTGTGGGGCTCCTCAACTAGACTCTCTGATCTCTATCAATACGATATTGTTATCTTGATATGCACATTTGCGATAAAGTTCATGCCACACCGAGAGTTCGCTGGAACTCTGAATCCATCCCGTTCCTAACGGAGAGAAGCGAGGTTTTGGTGGAGAAGAGTCTTCACTCCCACAGTCTGAGCGAATGACTCTGGGTAGCTGGAGCCTGAAACGGGGCTGAGTGAACTTTGATAAAGCAAGAACTTTGGCCCCGCTGAGACCTCACACGGCCTCCCGCTGCTCCTCCGTGCGTCCTTACTCTGTCCACTGTGAGCTGACCGTTCATTCGCCCGCCCCACATACTGTGTCCTTACTTGTCTCGGGGCATTAAAACAATCTGGGGACTAAGGGGGGATCCCAAGTAATGTGGGACCAAAGCAGACAGAGAGTTGGTCTTAGGGGAGAGGGGAAAAGAAAAGAGGGACCCAGACCGGACGCCCGCCCACCTAGTTTCCCCCAACATGATGTAAAATGCCCATCGTTCTCTGCTCCTGTGTCCTTAAACTAATTATCGGCTGTAGTAGGAGCCATGAGCTTTTCAGCATCTTCTACCCAGTTGTGGACTCCTGAGAAGTGGGGGGGGGGGGCTTGAAGTAGGCCATAGACCTGGGGGGGATAGGTTCTAGGCCGGTGCAGGTTTCTCTCCTCTCTGCTTACCTGGCTGCAGACGCCCAGCACCTGCTGCCCAACACTCCTGCTCCTGGAACACCTTCCTCACATAACCAACCGTGGCCCCTCACACTGTGACGCAAAATGAGCCCTTCCCCCCTTCCCCCCATAGGCTGTCTCTTATCAGGGAGTATAGCAACAAGAAAGGTTGCTGTACTGTAGGGAGAGACCAGGGACCTGCAGCTGACCACGCCCCATCCCACTTCTGACACCAGCTGATACGGAAAACAATGCTATGGCCAAGGGGGTCTAGGTTATGTAAGGCCTAGGCAATCTATGGAGCCTTGGGTAGTAGATAAATATTTATCCCTGGCGTACTAATAGACTTTTGGTGCCCATCCCACAATGAGTGATGCTCTCTCGGCCTGGACTTTTGGGGGAGGGCCTAGGCCTTGTCCTGCATGGAAAGACAGACTATGGATACCCCCATGGAGGGCCTCACCCTCCCTGGGGAAAGGAGTGGGGATTGGAGGAGGTGGGTTGGTGGGAGGATGCGGGAGAAGGGGAGGGAGAGGGAGAGGGAGCTGGGAATCACATGTGAAGCAACCTTGTTTCTAATTTAAATTTAAAAATAAAATTAAATTAAAAAGAGAGAAATCACTTATAGGGGAAGCTGCTAAGCTCTCTGCTCTCCGAAAGACGGCCAGCATCCAAGAGAGAGAGTGCCCACCTACCTGCTCCTTCTTTTTATCCTGAGTCTTCCCCTGTACACGTGATGTCAGGGCGTGGTCAGATGCAGTGCCTGGTCTCTCCTCTCTGTATGCTATACTGCCCCTACAGAATGCCTTTTATTTTATTTTCACCAGCTCTATTAGCCTAGTATATCATTCTCCCCAATCTGGCCTCCTTTATCTCCCACAGGAAAAACAAACAAACAAACAAACAAAATTGTGATGTCTCCTACCCTGACTGCTGTGGAGAGAGTGTGGTCCCTGCATGTCCAGATTTAACTGTTGAAGTTTGATCCCCAACACAATGGTATTTGGGGGGTAAGGCACCAGGAAGATGAACAGGATATAAAAATGGACCCTTGTGGGACTTTGATGATTGAGGTCAGTGTTCTTGTGAGGGGAACATGTCTCTCTCAGTGGTGAGGACACTGAAGGTGGGCATCTGCGAACCAGGAAGTGGCCCTCACCAGACACCGGATCTTTTTTTTTCTTTTGCCTTGACGGTGGATGTCTCCGTCCTGGCACTGTGAGAACTAACTGGTTATTGCTTAAGCCACCCTGTCTGTGATAATTTCATAGTATCAGCTCAGATTGATGGGGGAAATGACCTTTCCTTGCAGAATTAAGCACTTGCTCCATTTTTTTAAAAAATTAAATATATTTTACTTGCAATGTAATATGGTTTAAAATGTCTGATGTTATCATTGACAGGGAAAGAACTGTTTTTAATTAGAAAAATATACTGGAAAGCTGAAGCTAACAGAAATGAAGACCTCTGGGGGGAGTAATCGGTTAGCAGGAACAACACAGGGACAAGCTAACACTCATGCCCCCCCAAAGAAAAATATGGGGCTATGGGGGAAAGGAACATGAGGGACAAAGAGGAAATAGGGGTTGGGAAATGTGCTGAAGACACACAGAGAATGTGGAGGAAGTTTCCAGAAGGAAGGACTTTCTAGAATGGGCTGCGTTTTACAGGAAATGAAAAAAAAAAAAAGCACATCTACTATTCAGTCTATGTTACGGCACAATCACTGTGTGCCTCTGTCCTAGCTCATCCTCCCAGAGGTCCACGCTATGTAGGTATCTCAGGACCAGAACCTTTCAGACACAAAGAGAGATACCTTCTACTGTACGTCGACGAACACCAGGTATGAAAGAGACGGAGACAAAAGAAAACATAGCGGGTAAGCAAAACTTCTGAGGAAAATGGACCACCAGAAATGGCGAAGAATCTTCCACTATCCCAGATCTGTACCTCTACCCACCGCAGTGAGTTACTTACAGGTAATTTCCCCACCCCAAACCTGTGACACGGGGCTACCTGCAGGGTCCCTCAGGACTTTTCCTGTGTTGATAGTCCATGAATCTAAACCTTAGCCTGAAATGGGGAGGGAAGCAATGAATTATGTCTTATTGTAGAAAAAAAATCTTTGGTGATATGGGTTAATTTGATCATTTACACATGGGAGAACACACAAATAACGATACCCATTTAGCACCTAAGTCAAACAAGGAAAACAAAATTCAGAGTTGCACTCTCAGAGCAACAAACAGTGGCTTGTTCCTACTCCTCTGGCAATTTCGTAGCATATGTTCAAGAAAATTATAATGTGTTTTGAGATTACTGCTAAGGCTAGACACAAGTGTGTGGGGACATTTATGTTATTATGTTATTTTTAAAATACAGCAAAAACAAACCAACCAGTAAAAACAGCTCCAGTGCCTATGGACGCAAGCGTGCAGCCACAAGCCAAGAGAACAGCATTGAATTCTCCCCAAACCTGGCTTTAAAGGCAGTTAAAATAGGCTGTCAAGGAACTATTGATGTCGAGAAATTGCTCCAATCAATTGATTAGTGCGCAATTATTTTGGAAGGAAAATATTGAGTTGTTTCTGTTTATTTGCCAGAGGCAATTATCTGATTGTGTTTAAGCAACTTCACTCACAAAGAGTAAAAAAAAAAAATAGGAGTCGGTCGGAGGCTGACATCACCCACCCGTCCAGGTGACAGTGGGGATGTCTATTTGGCAATAAAGGGGTTAATTCGAATGAAGAAGGGAATGGCTATTTGATGTGGTTAAGTTAGCTTTCCATCACATATTAAATGGATGTTCCAAAGACCAGTAGTGTTCAGTACAGAATTCCAGCATGAGTTCAAATGTTGTTTCTGTCACTTACTAGTCATAAGATCACCCAGAGATGATGGGGGGAAATCCTTCTGTGTATATGTTTGTCCTATTGGTTGATAAATAAAGCACTGTTGGCCAATAGGGAAGCAAGAGTGGTGGGACTTGGAGTCAAGGATGATTCTGGGAAATGTAGTCAAGCGTAGAGGGTTGCCATGTGATCCCAGGAGGAGAGGGCACAAGTCTGGCATAGTAAGATAAGACCTTATAAAAATATATATTAGTAATTATGGGTTAATAAATCAGAGCTAGCCATTAGGAAACCATAGCAAATGGCTGGCAGCTTTATAATTAACATAGCTGTTGGAACTGACCCTGTGGATCAGGAACCAGGCTGGAGGGAAGAATACATGTTACACAGATGGGCAGACAGATGATCATGCACAACACACATGCATGTACGTGTGCATGTACACATAGGTGCATGCACAAGAGAGAGCATGCGCGTGCGCAGGTATGCACACACACGTGCACACACACACACACACACACACACAGCTCTGTGCTTCTGACTCTTTGGTTTATTGTGGGGATTAAGTGACTTAAATACAGATGAAGTATATAAGAATAGACTTGGGGAACAGCAAGGACTCTATAAATGACAATCTTTGGTTTGTCTGGAAGATATCAGATTAGAAAGTACAACCTGCTTCTATATCATGACAAAGCATGGTTGTTGCAGTCACTAAGGCCAGTCATCTAAAGAAGTCCAAAAACAGTTTAATCTCATAAAAGTAGCGTTTAGGTCTTCAAGATACTAATGTGGATAAAGTACCTCAGATAATAAAATCGAAAACTGCTAAGTTTCACGTATTAATTTATGCAGAATGACCATTAGGAAATCTATCACACATTGACACTAATACTGCATTTTTATGTAAAATAGTTATAATTACAAAAGAAAGACAGAGTGAGATTAGTGCCTATTGTGCAGTTTTTGTAAAACCTATTCCAGGACTGGGTTTGTTGATGCCAGTAGGCTCCAGTTTGATCCAGTTTGATGGGTTATTTTGGTTGGGCTTTATTTTTTTTAAAGATTTATTTATTTATTACATACACAGTGTTCTGCCTACGTACCAGAAGAGGGCACCAGATTGAATTGTAGATGGTTGTGAGCCACCATGTGGTTGCTGGGAATTGAACTCACGACCTCTGGAAGAGCAGTCAGTGCTCTTAACCTCTGAGCCATCTCTCCAGCCCCTTTGTTTGGGCTTTATAAAGAACATCCCCACGAATACGTAGCTGGGAAAGAGAGGAGCTTTTCAAATAATTTTGTGTGTTCTTCTCTAATACTCAGCGGATCACAGATCTTTAAAGACGTGTTGTAAAGTGAACTCTGCAGCCATATCAATAAACTTCCCATTTCTTTTACTTCAAGACCCAGGAGTCCGTCTCTGACCACACTGGATCCTCACCTTCGATTCTCCGAATGCCATACACCAGCCAATCGGAAACTCACTAATTTATACAGTTTGCTAATGTTGATGGAATCTGTTACTCTCTGACAAAAAAAAAATAGCTGGCAAGCATTAATATTACTACAAACCCTTTACGAACCAAGACATCGTTACATGTAGCTGGTCTATATTCTGATTTTCGCACGAGAGCTTGAAGTTCATCATGGGAAGTCGGCATTGTCAGTTGGGTTTCCGGGAGTGACGGGTGTGTTTCAATGGCCTCAGGAAAATGTCTGGCAAATGCTGAAGTCTGAATAACCACCGTTTGTTAGTGTAGGGGAAAGGTTGTTCCGTGGGGGAGCAGCCAGTTGGCTTGCCACTCAATCCCTTGCACACATGGTTTTACACAGGCAGCACTGTGTCTCGGGGTGCTGGGGTGATTTCTGTATACTCCCCAATTTGTTCCACACACCATTTTCAAGAGGGTGTGATTCAGAACTGATTTTTTTTTCTTCAACAGTAAGAACTTTTTTCCTGCTTCCTTGGGGACATCCGCCATGAGGCTGGAACCCCCCCCCCTTCCGGGTCCATGTGGATACAAAAACGTCGTGATCATGCCTAGCACATTGCCACCCTTTACATCCACTCCACTTACACGTGCAGAACAAATGGCAGACCCTGAAAAAGGCAAGTGACACCATGAAAATAGACCTAACCGCTAAACTCCCAGAAAGGATCTTAAAGATGTCCGGACTTGCAGATCATAGCCTAAGAGCCAAGGCTTCAGGGATCATCATAAACAATTCATTAAACTGTTTCAGGCTGCTGCTCTTCGGGGCCAAACACATATGGTTCGGTCCAATATGAGACTGCTTCCAAGTGTTTAACTTAGGGAGTAGAGCACTATAATGAGCAAATTACATGCATGCAAACACTGTTGCCAAGGCCCGCCCACAATCTTTTCTGGTTAAGGAGTTTCTTTGGGTTTGATTTATGATGGAAGGCACTGATTTTTTTTTAATTAAGCTCTAATTTTAAAGCGATTAATAGGAGGAAAACTTACCTTCATAAAAATACTCAGCACCATATGACAGCAGACCAACTGAAGTCCGGGTGAAAGCAAGCTTGATGTCCTCTTACTATAAGAAACCGTCTAGGAGGCTTTGAGGCAGAAGCGAGGGGCAGACAGGAAGGGCTGAGTCTGTGAGCTCAGCAGCTGAACCTCACTTCCCGTCAGGGCTGCACTCAACATCTTCCAGGTGCCTAGAACCTGCAAAGGGAGGTCTTCTTTTAACACAGCGAGGATTGCTGTAGATGTCTGTTTCCTTGAAATAAATGACTTGAAGTAGAGCTATCATCCTCAGCTTCGCCACCTGGTGAGTAAGGCACACAGATAATGAGTGTGAGCCTCTCTTCAGTGATGACTTTCTATGGAGCATCCTTCTGAAGCTCTTCTGGGACCAGGGACAGATAGTCGGGCCCACCTGAAAAGCCATGGGCTTACAGCTGACTTCCTGTTTCCCATAATGCACACCAGCGGGCTGCAGCAAGAAAATGCTTGACAAAGCATAGTCGTTGCTTTATGGACACAGCTCATCCTGTGATTAAAACTGTAGACCCTGGCCGGGCGGTGGTGGCGCACGCCTTTAATCCCAGCACTCGGGAGGCAGAGGCAGGCGGATCTCTGTGAGTTCGAGGCCAGGCTGGACCGACAGCCTCCAAAACAATACAGAGAAACCCTGTCTCGTAAAACCAAAAAACAAAAACAAAAACAAAAAACAAAACTGTAGACCCTGAACAAACCATTGCCCCTCCATGTGCAATCTTAGACAGGTCCTCTCCTGTCTCTGGGTTTTAGTTCCATCTGTACATGGGATCGTGAGAACCGTGCCGAGTTCCACAGAGAAGGCTGCTTTTGTGAGGGTAAACTCAGTACACACAGGCAGCATTGTAGGGTGAAATTTGGTACTCCGCCATTAGCCATGTGGCATTATTAGAGGCGCATACAGATGCGGTCATAAAAGGGCAGTTTACTGCACCGCTAACCACACCCACTTTAGGCATGACTAAAGACTTATACGGACGTAGGCTGTGAACTACGTCACTAGCCAGGCCCACTTTTGGGTGTGGCTAGGGGCGTGTACGGAGGAAGGAATAAAAGACTGTTAGCAGAACGTCTCGCCCTCTTTCCGGCTTCCAATTCAGCGGAAAAATACTGGGCTCATCTGGGTTGCTTGTTTTTCTCTTGTGAGTAATTTCTACAATAAATACTCACCTACACTTTCAGTAAGTGTGCCGTTTATCATTGCAGCATCACAGCATGCTCATGCCAAACGCTGCCTTCACGCCTGCCATTGTGGTCGCTGTGGCCACACCCATGGACACTGTCATCATTACCTAGGTTCATAGCCCTTGGTGGATTCTGATTTGTAGTGTCGTCACTAAGCCACGCACAAGTGAAGAGTTAAACACATTAGCTGAGTCCTTTTTTTATTTTTAAAATTTTATTTATTCTTCTATTCATACAGTGCATTCTGACTGCAGTTTTCTCTCCCTCTACTTCTTGAAGCTGAGCCCATCTTTCCTCTCCCCCGGATCTACCCCCCACCACGACCACTGTCTTCCCTAGAGAAAACTCTCTAGGCTGGTGTATCTCAGCACAAGGCATAGGAAATGAATGAAGCTTTAGCTCCACATCTAATCCAAGTTCCTTGCCCTACACTGAGAAAATGCTCCTCCCCAAGCATTCACAGTAGGGAGCCTTATCCTACATCTATTATATACGTATGTAGACCATACACACGCATGCACACGCACGCACACACGCACACGTACACGCACTCACGCACGCACGCACGCATGCCCAAGCAATGGTTTTATCTATCACAGCCTCTGACTTTATTTCAAACTTTCCCTGGAGTTGAATCCTTGCCATTTCTTTCCACTTAGAACTGTAGGAAAGAGTCCCTAACCTTCTTGGCCCTGAAACCTTCCCTCTTGCTGGAGAGGAAACCTTATCCAAAAGCTGCCTGCTGCATCCATCTATGTTCCTGTTCACGGGGACAAAAGGCAGCAGCGATTTCCACACCGAGACTCCCTACCACACGCACTGTTGAAGTGGGCTGCCTCCCCCGGTTCAGTTTTCAGTCTTCTTCTTCCTCCTAATTTGTCACAAGCTCCATTTAACCAAATAACTTGCAAGATAATTTTCTATTCTTTCTTGACAATTTCTCTCCTGACTTCTATTCTTCCTACGGATTCGGAGCTGATGGCTTTGTGTCAGAATAAACAAAGGCTTCCTGCGCGGCCCACATGCTCCGTCCTATCTTCCTCTCAGGCAGGTGCAGCCTCGGGGTAGGTTGTTTTCTCTCTGTGTGCTGATGCTTGGATGAGCTCTCTAGCAGTACTTCGCGGTGTTTTCGGTCATGCGGGCATATTTCATACTTCAGCAGACACAGAGGGAATGTTTCTGGCAAAGAAATTTGCAACACTTCTAGCAATCCGTTCCCATCATGCCGTCGGGCTCTACCCGCGACGCAGGCTGGCATTCATTGCTCTGATCCTGGGGAGACACACAAGAATTCAAGGTAAACGCCACCCCAACAGCAACCCTTTGCATCAGCACAGGCAGGAGCCAGAAACTGACCAGACTAGCAAACCACAGGGACTCCTTGCCTCATGACCCAACAGCCCAGGCCGCAGGAGGCCTCATGACCGGAAGGGTGTGGCTGTTCTCCCAAAGCAAACTTAAAATGGAACATCCCCCACCTCCTTCTGCTGCTCCCTCAGACTCTTCCAAGCAAAGCAAGTCAGAGAAGGGAGGAAGGAGGGGTCTGAGAGTGTCTTTAAGGGTTATCATACATACCATATTGTCTTCATAACATTCATTTATTTACAGGCTTATTTCTGCACATGTGTGTCCACTCATTCCGTAGCACACGTATAGGTCAGACCACGGCTTGTGGGAGTCAGTCTCCTCTTCTATACTATGTGGGCACCCTGGTCTAGAACTCAAATCCTCAGGCTTGGCAGCAAGCACCTTCATCAGTTAAGCTGTCTCGTTGGCCCCCAGATGGCTTTCAAGAGAGACAAAGATTTAAACAACAATAATATAAAAGATCTGGGCCAACCTAAGTTGATATACATACATATCCTGTTTAATTCCTATTCCAGAGGGAGAGATACATCTCAGAGAGAGGGCATAGAGGACGCGTCCTCTTCTTGTTCTTCCCAGCTGTATGGGAGTCAGCATGTCAAGCTTCTGTTTCTCGGGAAGCGATGGTTATCCCGGCAATTGTATTTCTAGCAAGGTTTCCTGTGCCCTCCAGTGGTCATTTTGTTTTCAGCTTTTTGAATCAAAGAAATGTACAACTGGGGAACAGCTTTTGCCTAAGGGGCTACGTTTCTGGGGGGGGGTTGTGGCTAGGTTTCTGGGGGGATTGTGGCTAGGTTTCGGGGGATTGTAGCTAGGTTTCTGGGGGGATTGTGGCTAGGTTTCTGAAGAGCTATTAAGGACAAAGGGGATTCTAGTTCAGAAAAGGCAGGTGTAGAGAGACAGGCTTCATTTCTCCACTGTCCCCTGAGTTCCCCAGCAGGAGGCTGCCTGAAGCTCTCTCCCTCTGGGCTCTGTTTCACCCTCCATTCCAGAAAGGATTATTCCCATTAGTCTGTTAGCAGAAAAGGGATCTGGGCATTCTCTTTTTCCTTACATTTTGGCTATTGGAGAAGAGTCTGAGAAATGAATCCCAGTGGGGAAAATGGAAGCAATCAGTCAGCAGAGGAGGCCACAGTGAGATCCGCATGGCCGAGTGGTACTGCATTTCTTTTTCTTCTCTTCATGTGTGATAAGCCCTCTAGGAACCCATTGATTCTGAGAGTTGGGTTTCTGAAGCCCAAGGTGAACTGAGAAACACCCTGAAAGGGAAAACAGCTCCTCTACACGGTCAGAGTTGGGTTCCTTTGCTGCGGCTGCCGGGCTCCAGTGGGGCCTTCATGTACTTTTTGATTTGTAGTAATTATTGGAAGTGACATCAACTCTTGTTAATTAACACCCCCCCCCAACACAAGCAGAAGGTGTGTGCTTCCTCCGGATACCCGGGTGGTGGCGTGGGGGAAGACTTTGTGGCTCTGCGCTCCCAGCCTTTCTTGGCAACACTTAAAAGACTGAGATGATGGTGTGGGCACATTCGGAGCTGGCGTTTCACACCCGAGATGAGCCGAGATGTCCGTGGCTTCTGAGAGACGCAGGGAAGGAGCAAAGTCCCATAAGTAGTGGAGATGGGGCAGCAGCTGAGGTCACAAAATGTTTCTAGGGCAGGGACAGTTTCTAGGACAAAACAAAGAAAGGTATCTTTTTCTACAATTCCTCATGGTAACACAAAGATTGCTTTCTTAACTGCTCACATTTTGAAAGTGATCCCATGGAGGGGTGTGTATGGGGAGGGGTGTAATAAGAAAACAAATGTCCTTGTAGCCATCGCCTTTATGAGATACGTCCTCCTAACCGCGTGCATTTCCTTCTCTTTGAGACACCACCTACCCAGCTCTTTGTATTATCCTTTTAAACATGTCCCCCCTTTGGCTATCTCTGATTCTGTTTTGTATTTCTATGACTTTGAATAAGCGAGCATAAGCAGCTTTTCTTAGTTTTTCCTGTTTTCTTTTCTTTTTTGGGGTTTTTTTTTTTTTTTTTGGTTTTTCGAGACAGGTTTTCTCTGTATTGTTTTGGAGGCTGTCGGTCCAGCCCGGCCTCGAACTCACAGAGATCCGCCTGCCTCTGCCTCCCGAGTGCTGGGATTAAAGGCGTGTGCCACCACCGCCCGGCCCTGGTTTTCTTTTCTTGATGGTTTTTACCTATGCTTTCTTATGCGTTTCTTTTCCTACATCTGTGTGGCCAGCGTGACGTCTTCATTCTCTCAGTTGCGTGTTCTGGTGAATATAAATCCTCGATATTTCGAGGCGGTTGAATTTGTCAACATTTACCTATTGTGGCTTGTTAGGGAAAAGGTCCTCACAGAATTCTTAGAGGTAGTCTCTCCCATCTTCTAAAGTGTCACTTTGCCACCATGGTCACAGACACAAAAACTAACTAGTCACCAGTCACCGCTCCCCTCTCCCCACCGCCGCAGCCACGCTTCAGAAGGCAGAGCTGTGAAAAGTAGCTGTTCAGCCAATGATGCAGCTGAACCTTCCTGGTGTCTACAAGGGGCCACGTACAAAATGTAAATGTAAGCGATGCTAAACTTACCCAAGAAGCCTGTGTTTGGTATACATTGCAATAAATTAGAATTTCTCCATTATGAGAGTATGAAGACTATGTCTAAGAAGTGAATACTAAGGGATAGAGCAGTTAAGAGCACTTGCTGATCTCCCAGAGGACCCAGGTTCAGTTTTCAGCACCCACATGGTGACTCACAACCATCTATAACTCCATTTTCAGGGCAAC